AATTCACATTTTTCCTATATAGTTATTTTTCTTGGAAATTTTGCATTTTTGTCTTATCCGCATCCCCCTTCTGCTTATCCACCCCTTCCTTCAGAAATTTCTGGATCCGCTACTGAAATACACATGTAGTTCAATAGGATATATCAAGTCCGACCATATTACAACAGTATAAATATGAATCAGGAACAATAGGACTTAGTAAACGCTTTCTATAAAATTATAATAATAACCAATCAAAAACCGCGAACAGGATCTTACTCAAACCGATAAAAAACCAAATAAATAAATGGGCCATGAGCAATGTAGTCACAATCGATGAGCGGCCATGATTGTGTTTAGTCAAAATAATTTAAAAAGTCTTTCTTCTCTTTCAGAGACAAAAAGATTCTTTATATTATACTTCATATCTACATTTCGTGCTCAAAAGAACGAAGTCATTTATTGAAAATTTAGAAAAAATATGCCAGGCAGGTGACCTGGCTATTTTAAACAGTCTGTCTGGCCTGTCTGAGATCTCAGCCTAATCTTTGACGGGCTCGAAAATCGGGGTATGTGCTTGCCTCAGGCAGTCAAACCTGGTGGCCTGTTTGAGCCTCTGGTACAAAGCTTGATAATAGGAGTTTTGTTGAAAGGTGAGGATTAATCTCTTAATAGAATCTCCAGAGTTTTTTTCAGCTCCTTGATTTCTCTAGTTTCTTGAATTCTTTGGGTTCCTTGGATTCTCGAGTTTCTTGAATTCCTTTGGTTCCTTGGGTTCCTAGAGTTCTATGAGTTTCTAGAATTTCTTGAGTTACTTGGATTCCTTGATTTTCTTGAGTTCTGTAGATTTCATTTAGTTTCTCATTGGTGACTGCTTCTTCTTTACTATTGATGTTTGGATTTCGAGCTTCTCAAGAGTTCAGAAGTCCTTGAATTCGGACAGGTCTCTTTTATTATTAGATCTAACTACTGTGTCAAAGTGAGTTATTGAAAACTTACATTATAAACGATGAAGAAAACTTTATTCAGTAGAAATCTGACGTTATACGTGAAAATAATGAAATGTAAACAAATTAAAATATAACTTTAAAAGTCATTCATCACAATTTGCTATATTATGCCACGATGAGAAATGAATTTTTCGAGAGTTTTATCATTTAATGATCTGTTTTCTCTTACTTTGTCAAAAAAATACGATGCTGTCGTTATTGAATCAAAGGAAGAAGAAATCTTGCATAAATCACGCTGTCGCAACAAAAATAAATGACTGAATGTTGGAAGATGAAAGAAACGAGTGTTTATTCTGAAGAAACCCGAATGGGACAATGACGTAGAATAAACTTCACTTTCATCCTTTTTATTTTGACGTAGGTAAATAAAAACTGGAAAAAAAAGTCCTGCTACCTCCTACTTGCTCTGACAAGTCGAAAATGTATTAAAGTTCAGATTGACGACGGAATGATTTCTCTGCTTTTTTTTCGTCAAGATGATAAAAAGAAAAATAAGAAAACATTAGTTGCCTTGGACAGGTAAAAATATGTGACGAAGCACAAAGTAAAACGAGTTTCGTCGACGAATAAGAAAGAAAAAGAACAGCACTCCTTATGATCTAAAAGTTACCAATTCAAGAGATGTAGCTGACTGAGATAATTATACCTTTCAATTACCATGGAAACCAAAGAATTCAAGGAATATAGGGTGTAGGTGCGGATACGAGCGTTGGTATGTAGGTGTGGGTGTGCATCACAAGAATACTCGCATCCCGTTCACATCCCACACCCACACCCACACTCCTTATTTGAATTTGCTTATGACAAACTGATACATATTCCATCTCCGCTTAAGGAGATTCTTCTTTTTCCACAAGATTTACTGATTGATTTTATGTGATCTCCAATTTTAATAATAGAAATAGAATTAAGTTGTACCGAAGTTGGAATTGTCCTACTGACACTCATATAATCATGGGATCGTGGACCATAAAGGTTATGAAAAAATGTATAATTCAATCGACGAAAAAGTAATTCAAGTTTTAGCAAAAGAGTAAGAGAAACTTCTTGTAAACAGATAACTGTATTTTCATGCTGACGAATCTCTTGTTCTAACTGAAATTGAATTAAATTCCATCGAATGGTCAGTTTGAAGAAATTTAAGTTGACGTTTCAAATAATATTCTGGTCAATTAGCAAGGATGGACACTAACAAATTATACGACACTACACGAACGATCATAGCAGTGTTGTAAAGTATGTTTCTATTACAGAACAAGTAAAGCAAATGAATGTGTCATGGAAGATTTTGCAAGAACAAGATAAAAACAGTGTATGTGCTTCATGACTCGAAACGACGAAAAGAAAAGAACAAAGTTTCAACGATTCAGGGAATGATGATGAGGGTGGATGTGGGTATAGGGTATGAGTGTGGGTCTTGTCTTAGTCCATCCACACCAAATGACGATAATAATGAGAAACTAGGCAAAGTTTACAGAAGTAGTTCTTTTTGATCTCTATTTTGTAAAGAAATACATGAAAGATAGCCTTGAACTATTTTTCATATCATTAAACACGCAAGAAACAAAACAAATCTTCTCAAATGAAAACGACCAATTAAAATCCATAGCTTTTGCATGATTTATAATAATAAATGTCAATTACTTCGTTAGATTCTATTGAATTTTCTTTTCTTCTCTATAACTCAGTAAAATTTCCTAAATTATTGAATCGTTTATAATAAAATTTCAACTGATATCAATTTTCTATGTTTGTGTTGATGATGATTATATCAAATCAGAAAATTCTCGAACAGAAATAACAGTGTGTCACGTATTCATAAAAATAATCAACATGTAGGACTTATCGGGTTTCTTTTTTTTTCTAAAACTAAAAAAGAACATGTTCGAATATTGGTTCATTCGTGAATAGATAGCAAATAATGAATAAAATTTCGTTCATAATTTGTCATAATGATCATTAAGAGATGGAATATCTCCTTTTAGTCCTTTAGGTTTTCGAATATCATTAATAATTTGTCGAATTTCAGTTGAGTCATCAAATGAATCTTTATTTATAATTTCCCAATGATCAAATATACATTGTGGAAATGCTTGATCACCTATATTTGAATGAAGATCAGCAGTTAAAACTTAAGAAAACAAAATAAATATGAATAAAAAAATAAAGTTTATTCTTTTATCAGAAGACTCATTGACTGATAAATACGCTTTAACAATAAACATTGATGTTTCAGCTATATGATGTTCTTTGAAAATATGACCTTAAGACGATTGAATACATCATAAAATATTACCAAGAACAACTTTCGGACACTAAATAGAGTTATTATAACTTTGTAAAAATGAAAATTTGGTTTTTTTAAATGTACTTCTATTTCACATAAATAAGCTGGTGCAAAAAGTCGTAGTTTACCTGTGAGCATTGGTGCATAAATTACACGACAAGTTGCTGGAATAAATTGACCATCAGCACGATGTATAGTATCACTATACAATATAATATCATAAATATTAAAACAAACACCACGAACATTTTCTTCGGCAAGTACGTCCGTGTATGCTTTACCGTTTTAATGTGATGCTACTTCACCTTTCTCAATATCGCCCGGTAAACCTGAAAAATTCATTGAAAAAGAATTTCTCAAACCCAATAATTAAATATCTTTTTTTTGCTATCAGGCATAGATAGAGCTTTTATATAGATACGATTATTTTTATTAGGTGATTTCGATAGACAAATTATGTCAGATTTTTCACATACAGTTTCACGCTATGATACGACTGGATTAGTATAGAACTCCAATAAAACAACGTACTCGAAGATCGTGTGTATCTTCAAGTGTTATTTATGAAGATAAAACTAATCTAGTAGTTTTCAATTTCGTTTTTATATGTAAGAAAACAAATTTCATCATCAATCTTGACGAAAAAGACAAAGAAAGTCAATGAACAATTTCAACGTCAAATACTCCATTTAGTAATCCATTTAATAAAAAATGTTTATTCAATTCGGAAAAATAGATGTTGCTCAGGCTAAGAGTATGTATGAATGAGAAATGATAATAAAGGAAAGAGTATTCTTCTCACAGTCACACATTCATTCACATTCATCCTTAACCCACATGCACTGCCTTTTATTCTACTCTTCTTATCTACTTTACATACAATTATATTTGAAATACATTTAACAACTTTTTCTGGTGCCTATACTGCTTAATATTGATATAAAAGAATGAATTTCTAATAGATGTTCATCCATTTGAGAGAAATTAGTGAGTTCTAATGTTCTTTGTCGTTGAATTTTGAGTATGAGAGTTTGAAAAGGATTATAGTTAATTTATCATTATTATGAGAAATCTTTTATAGTTATATAACTTCTTAATACAAAAAATTTTCTTATTCAACAAGATATAATAGAAATGCAATATTTTCTGGAAAAAAAAACAAGTTCTTTTCTTATCTTATTTTTGTCCGTAATATGACGATTGCATGATATAGATGCTACGAACATGACTCAAAATATCGGCATCAAAACATGGTTGAAGAAGGAAGAAAAAGAAAATTGTTATTCAACCACACAACAGTGCGACAGAACGAAGAAACTGCGTAGTTTCCATGATGAATAATTTTTCTTCGCTTTCATTTGTCTCTATACATGTGTGTAAGTTAAACATTGTATATTCCATATTATTTTTATTTATGTTCTTCGCACAGTATCATATACATTTTGAAAAAGAAGTCTAATAATAGATCCAATCCAACATTTACTCAAAACATACACCGTTTAGATACGATACTCTTTAGATTAGTAGAAAACAATCTATTCAGCTGTATAGATAACATTTCTTTTCTCTTATGTAATTATATTCGATGGGCAATGACAATGCAGATAATAAATGTGTTGAATACTTCACAAAGTTCTTTAGCTCATTGTTATCATAACATGAGACAACTTTCGTGATGTTGATATAGACAGAAAAAAGCAGATCATAAGTTCAGAATAAAGTTGTAGTCAATGCTCTTTTTTCTAAAGCAGACGAATAAAGTTAGAAAAATATTTCAGTTATCTACTTCTTCTTGTAGAAGACTAAAACTTTAATGATAGTGATTTAATTAGAGTGTCATGTTTGGAAAAAACTTCTCTTCAACTTTAAAGAAACCTTTATTGTCGAGTCGTAAGAAATAACAAAAAACAAAACGTTAAGCGTACTCTTTTCATTAGAAGCTAATTGAAATTGTTCGATTCTCTTTTCGAATAATTGCGAAGAAACAAATTCTTTTGTATCATGGAGCTTATCATATCTGATAAGCTAACGAGAATAGCATTGAAACGCTCGATAGTATGTTCGTTTGATATTATACACTAATCATTATATATTTATACTTTTAGATTCAAAATCAAGTGGACCGATGCTCAGTTTAGAACTCTTACCGAATGAATTATGACATTATATTTTTTCTTATCTTCATTCTGATGAAATTATTTATAGTTTTTTAAATCTAAACATAAGATTTTACACTTTGTGTCTTCCATACATCGAACGGTTAAATTTATCAACAACTACCAACGTACCACTATGGAACACACAAAACTTTCAATTAATTCCATCATTAATCAAAACATTAAAATTGAATGATACACAACTCGAATAGGTCTTTGATTTTCCTGATAGTATCCCAATTTACTTTACACAACTTCAAGCAATACAATTAAGAATTCTCTTACAAAATGAACATTACAAACAATATTTACCGATATTCAAAGAAACTATATCCTCATTAGTATTAGATTATCAAAATGCTACAATATTTTCTCAAATTGATCATGAAATTTTAAATGAATTTATCACTAATGATACTTCGACAGTACTTAATACTTTGATCATTGATGGTGTATGTTTATCAATTGATAGTGAAAATTTTCAAACATGTCAAACATTGAAACGTTTAACATTATCTGTTGAATATCAACATCATTTATTTATCTTATTAGAATATTTACCACAATTAGAATATTTGAATATCGGCATTCGAGAAGGTAAATTGACGAAATTTTTATACCATTTCTTGTAAAAATATTTCACAATGAAAGAGCGAAGTTATATCTATAGAAAAGATATGCATCATTTTTTTTAGTGAAGAAATGAAACAATAAGTTTTACAATGGATTTTCTGCACTATAGTTTCGTTTTCTCGAAACATCTTACAATGAAAATTTTGGATGAGAACCTTGTTGATCATGTTGTTTTCTATGGAAAGGCCTTGCTCAGATCAAAAGTTATTGAGAGTGTCGGCAGTGCAGTAAGAGCATAATGATCAGGAATTAACTTTTGAGTTATTCGGACGAAAACAGTCGGAAACAAAACAGATTGAGAATTGCAACACGCTGATAGTTTTCTTTGCTGAATGCAGTGGTCACGCGACATAGATCTCATTGACTCGGTCTCTTGAGATTAACATCGTAATTGGTTTCTTTTGGATCGTTACGTGTTATTGGTAAATTTCCTTAATCAACAAGATGCTGAATTTACTTACCGAATCTTTTAAAAGTATCCGAAGATTATTTACAAGTGTTACCTTAAGTATTTAATGAGAAGATAAAACCGTTCAAGGGCTTAGATATATCGACTTAATACAATATGTTGCTGTCAAGTAAAGATAGAATTGTTTGTTTAAATCAAGTTCACTTTTAACTGTTGCTTTTTTTTAAGGTAAAGCAGGTAAATATGATTATAATTATTTAAAAACAAAAACTCTTCAACTAAAATTACGGCAACTTATTATATCTGCAAATGATATTGATTTCTATGATTTGAATCTTCTACTTCGACAATGTCAATCAACATTAGAAATATTAAAATTACGTTTGAAAATTGATTATATAATTGATGGACGAATGTTAGAACCATGGAAAAGATCATTAAAACAATTTTATTTTTATTTTTTCTGTCATTCACTTGATGGTTCATCTATTGATGCAGATGATTTGTTATCATCATTTCAAACATCTCTCTGGTTACATGATCAATCTGTAATGTTTTTTACAAATTCATTTTATCAAACCTATACAATCGTTTCACCACCATATGATTGTCGAAATATTAATTGTTCATTAACAAATGAATTTTTAAATTATCAATTAAATAATCGACAAGTAGAATTGAAAATGCCACGAATTAAACGAATATTTCTAAATGATAAACAAGAATCTGTATACACCGATCAATTTTTTCAAGTATTGAAATCTATTTTTATCAATCTTCAGATATTAGAAATTGGCTCTAATTTTCATCTTATTGATAATTATGATAATAATAATAATAATAATAATAATAATTCTTGGAAAGAAGATGCAAAATTATCTACTGTTCATACCTTGATCATTGTAAATAATCAAGATCATCTTAATGTTAAACGTTTATTTAAATTATTACCCAATCTATATCGTCTTCATATTGATTATGATCTATTAGTAGCTAGTCTATATGATTTGTATTCGATAGAAAGACAAGAAAAATATCAATATCAACATTTGCAAGAAATATTAATTCATTTTCAACCAAATCAACATATCGAACTGGATGATGATTTCAAAAATAGAGTGAAACTTGTATATGGCAAAGCTAAAATTTTATCATAAGCAGACTTCATTCGAACTCTTTTGTATCCATATTTAAAATTCTTTTAAACAAGCAAACACATTAAAAAAAATAGCTTCAAAATCAGCAAAATATATTAATCTCTACCGATTTCTTTTTAATAGATTTTGGAAAAATCTTTTCAATTATGTGCCACTATTTTTTATTTGCAGATTGTATAAGACTTGACATCTTCGAATGCATTTCTCAGCATATCTACTATGAATTGATGGTGTCTATGATGAGGAAAAAAGTATTTTTGCGAGAAACAATAATTATGTTATAAATCAAAGGCATTTTTCTGACATATCGAAAAACTGTCGAATATGTAACATTTACCTCTGGATTGAGTATTACAATGTTATCTTAATAAAACTTTTTTTCGAAACAATACTATTATCGCCATTTTAAGATGACAGCCACGGTAATCACGACTTCATAAAAGATTCCAAGAAAGCTGTAGCATCAGAAAACTTATTGGACAAGAATTTAGAGTAAGGCAAGGCTTTTGTTTAAACTATCCGGCAATTTATCTTGTTGAATGAGCCATTAATTTGTTCGTAGTAATAGCGAAGACAAGCATTGTAATTAGACGAGGAATGAAGATGGTGACTTGTAATATCTTGATCAGATGTCCGAAGTATTATAGATGTTGTTTCATTGATGATTTCAGTGACATATACAGAGTACCATTATGTATATCTAGTACTATTAATACTCTTCTTCATATAGATATCGAACTAATAGAATGAAATATGTCTGAGTTGAAAGTTGACTTTAGTTGTATCTACTAGAGAAGGAGATAAATACTTGCTTTATTGTAATGTATCCATATCAGATTCAACGTTGAATGTATAGAATGACGTGTATGAGTGTAGGTGTGAGTGTTGTCTGAGCAGAGTCACATTCACATCCATACCCAATTTGGATGATATCGTAGTCTTTTCAACAAATCTATAAGTTTTTATCTATTGAAAATAGGATGTGAGATGTCGGTGTTTTCTGTTCATCCAGATCAAAATCTCTCTGTTTTTGATATATAGATAGAGACCTAAATGACTTCTTATCGATTTCTATTAAAATATGACAAATAATGTAAATAGATGAGATTATACATGACATAAGTATAATTAGGACATGAGTATATCGGAGTAGAGTGTTTTTTTTTTGGAATTAATGGAATCAATCAAATCTCATCAATTATTTGAAAAAATGAATTAAATATTAAGGAAGTATTGATATTTAACTATTCGTCAATATGTGATTGTTAGTTTTTTTCGATATCACATTTTTAAGCATTTAAATTTCGATTTTCTTTGATGTGTTTAAAAACAAGATTTTCGAGAAGCTCTGAAAGAATTAAGAAAACGCATTCATCTTATTTTGGTTATTATATAGATCGCTATTATTGATAATGAGCTTTTGATTCTCACAATTAGAAAGTATATTATCAATTAATATCTCTCCCATATGAGACTTAGAACAGCGATTTTTAGATTTTTCGAAGTACATCTGATTATTGATCAATATCTCCTCTGTTCACACTCTCACCCCCACAACCTAACATTTATTCATATATCTCGATTATGTATCAGATACATCTTGGTTTTCTATAATAAATTCAATAGTACAAGTGTTCGTCTTATTATTCGAGATCGTTGAAGTTCTGACTAATTCTTGCCAGTAATTATTTTTCGTTATCTTTATATTCGTGCTCTTCGTCGTCGTCGTCGTCTATAGCACTACTTTCGATTGTTGTAGATGTGATTAGAATCTGAAGTTCATCGTTGGTTGTGGTTTGCAATTCAACATTCGACAAAGGAAGTAAAACATCTTCATCTTCGTCAATACCATAGGTATTTGCCCAAAAAACTAAATCTTCCAATGAATTTTGTTGAGTAGTGATGTTAGAGATAAGTTCATCATAGATTTTTTCAATTTCAGAAACATTATTTCTTATATGCATTGTCTGAATAAATACGAGAAGAATCTCTCGAATTTGTTCTAGACGTTGTTTTTCAATTTCCTGACACTGGGAAAAAATTTCTTTCGCTTTCTTTCGATATGTTTCTTTGGTATTCACATAAATCTCTTCAGCATTTTTCATTTTCGTTTCAAGTCGCTTTAATTCAATTTCGTATTTAGTATGAGTGATTGATTTATTCATTAGTTTTTTTTCATTAACAACTTCATTATTTGCCACTTTTTCAAAATCTTTATCTACATTCAGAAGAATCTGTTCTATGCGATGGATTCGATCATGTAATTTATCGAGATTTGTCTTTGCATTGACTACAGACATGTGAGCACGTTTGAAAAGTTTTTTAAATTCACGATATCGACAATGTTCATATCGATGTCCAAAATGAACACGCGTGTAAGTCTCATCGATAAGTTTACGATATTTATTAATTATAGCTTGTAAAGCATTGCAACGATTATCATCAATACGTGCAAAATGTCTTGCAATAAGAATTGTATCGACTTGAGCATGTTTAGTTGTATGATATGATGAAATCATTGGTTGATTTTTGAAATGTTTGATCCATTTTCGACTGAATGACAGAAGATTTTGAGCATGATTTCGACCGATTTCACAATAATCTTCCATCATGCGAATTAGATCTTGAGCGATATCATAGCCTGGAAAAAATAATAAATCAAAAAATGAATGCCATGAGAATTTACGAGAAATAAGAAAGAAAAACACAAATACTCACCACCATTCATACGTTCAAGAGCAGCTCGAAAATTTTCATCATCAAAAAAGTCATTGCCTGCATAGGGATCAAGTCGATCTTTGATACTATTCCGAACATTAGAGGCTACTATCTCTTTCAATCCAACACAAGCACCCAGATTGATTGAACTATTGATTTTAGCTGCCATGAAATAATGAAAATACTGCTTTTTGCTGGCAATTGAAATCAATTTTTAATGAAGAATGATAATGAGAAAATAAAATGAATTTACAACATCACTTGTATTTATAGACACTTCATCTACGTTTTTTTCTCAATGTAGAAAGAATTTCGAAAATGATTCATCGATTGCGCAATGTTGGATAATAAATCAAACAGCAAGTATAACAACAAGCACCAATAAAAAAAAAGCGATTTGATAGAAACAATTATTCTTTAGTATTCGATTGCTTTCTTTCTTTCTTTTCAATTGAATCTATTCAAAATGATTTTTTACTTCGATTTATGATATAGTTGTTTTATTTTTAGATAAAAAGAAATCCAATGCGATTAACCTATGATTTCTTTTTTCTTCACGCCCACTTCGAAAAAAAAATGTGCATATGTACTCAAGAATCGTATATTCTATATTTTGCTGCCATGAATACTATTTCAAAAACTGATTTATCCATGTATCTGATCCGATTATTCATCATTGAAAATCATTCCAAGAGTCGTTTCTCAACAGTCGAATATCGAATCGATCTGAACGTTTTTTTGTTGAATGAATAAGAGCAAAGTCTGATGAAAATCAAATACAAAATAACATTGAAAATGTTTTTTGCAAACTGCTTTTTCTTTTAATATTTTCATTCGTTGACTTCGTGATTTCGCTTGTGTCGACATGTTTAATAAGATCTAATTGAATCATTAGAATATTCATGTTGATATTTGATTAGATGAAGACATACTTGAAGAATAACTAAATATTCTGATGGATTAAGTTTTTGAAATGTATGCCAAATTTTTCGTTTATTCATTCTAATCGGATTATTAATTTACTTTGATTTTACACTATTGACTAAACAGTATTTCTTCTTCCTCGGATCCTAGTCTCTATGAGAGCTAAACGTCTGAAAATTCTTCCATAGATAGCCCACAGATAATGTAGACCACGGTAATATCAGTGCCAAAATCTCTTAAGCTAAAATGCAGTTATAATATGTGGCATTCATGATCACTGTGAGTTTTGCAACTCGAGAATAGATAAACTTTTGGAGTCGTCCAATTTCTCATTTTATAGTCCTGAATTTTAACTATTTCTGATATAAATTTTACTGAAGTTCATCAAACTATTGGCGATCTAGGGTGTGCGCGTTTCAAGTTACTTTTTTCATACATTTTGTCTAGGCAAAAATTTCGAAATCTAAATCTAGTTATTTTATCGCAAGAGAAAGTTATATGTCTGAGAAATGTTTTGTAAGCGGCTGTATATCTTTCCACTTTATCTATGATAGATATCATACATTTAGAACTTGATTGAGTATGGTTCACTTCTAATTTGAACCTTAAAGTGAATTATCGAGGATTAAATATTAATATGCCTGAACGAAATAGTAGTTTTTGTTTTTCGTGAAAACCTATGTTTTGAGAGCATTTATTTAATTCTTAAAGGCTGATGAAAAATATTAATCCAGTCAAAAATGATCTGAAGGAAGTTTGCTGAAAACTATATTGTTTCGAAAAAAATAATTATGATTTCTAAAAGCAAAACTTTCAGCACATCTATCTTTGTCGAAAACTTAGTTTTGTTGGTTGTTTTGAGAAAAAAAAGGGATTCCTCAAGTTAATTTGTGCATCACACTTAGAATGTATATCAGAAGCACAATTTTATTTTCTATTTGTCACATCAGTAACATAAAGACAATAGTATTAATAGAACTCGGACAGAGCACCTTTTATCATCACTCCTCGTTTACCCTTCAGTAACAAAAATGGGTCACTGACAAACAAAATTCTTATCTTTTATTTCAAATTCACACAACCACACACACACACGTGCCTAGTATTCTGTAGACAATATCATATGAAAGTAAGAAATTGGCTACCATTAATTCGTTTAGAATTATATCACCGACATTTGTAGGCTATATAGATGGCTAAATTTTGCATAGTTCTTCTTTTCATTGTAACACAAGGTCTTGCAGCACCATATAAATCATCAAATGGTTGTGGTTATGATGTAAGAAAGCATTCATCCGTATAGAGTATTCTAAATAGATACGTAGTTATATTTTAGTCATGCAATTTGGGTAAACCCGATAAACTCAATGTTCATATCGTAGCTCATACACATGACGATGTTGGTTGGTTAAAAACAGTCGATCAATATTATTATGGATGTGAGTAACGATTAAATTCATGTAGTAACAATGAATAATTTGATGAATTGATTATTTTTTAGCACGTAGTGAAATTTGTAAACGAGGTGTTCAATATATTCTCGACTCAGTGGTAGCAGCACTTATGGAAAATCCTGATCGTCGATTTATCTATGTCGAAATGGGTTTTTTTTGGCGTTGGTGGAATCAACAATCGGACGAAATGCGTAACATTGTCAAGCAACTCGTTAATGAAGGTTCGTATTAATTGAATATGAATCAGTTAGTCACGAATGAGCAGTCATTCACTTATCAATATGCAATCTTTTCCCTAATTAAATCTGAATAGGTCGTCTAGAATTTATTTCGGGTGGTTGGTCTATGCACGATGAAGCAACAACACATTACAATTCGATTATTGATCAACATAGTTTAGGTGCTGAATTCTTGCATGATACATTTGGTGAATGTGCTCGACCGAAAATTGGCTGGCAAATAGATCCATTCGGTCATTCACGAGAAGTTGCTTCACTTTTTGCACAGGTTGAATTTGTTTGAAGAGATTTTATTTAATATAAATATTATTTCTTCGTAGATGGGCTTTGATGGTCTGTTTTTTGGACGTATTGATTATCAAGATCGATTATTTCGAACTCCTGAAAAAAAGTTAGAAATGATCTGGAAAGGAAGTGCTAACTTAGGTTAGTATCTTTGCAAGTGTTTCAAATTCGATCGCATATTTTTCGAGAAATATCAACCTATAAATGAACTCTAATCTAAATCTTGAAAAATTTCACATTGATATGTTCGTAGATCGTCAGAGTTGGCTGTTTACCGGTGTTCTACCACATGGATATAGCGCACCGTTATCATTTTGCTATGATATAATGTGTTCAGATCCACCAATTATGGTCTGCCAACATATATCAAGTCTCTCTGCTCTCTATCAATTGAATAATTCTAGGATGATAAAAATTTGCATGACTACAATGTGCCAGAACGTGTTGAAGCATTCATTAGAGCAGCACACATACAGGTTTGTTAAATAAAAAAGCCGTTGTAAGGTAGTTTTTATTGCAACTTTTGTTTTTCTTCTTTCTAGTCTCTTGCATATGCAACCAATCATATTATCATGACGATGGGAGCTGATTTTCAGGGTCAGAATGTCAATGAAAATTTCAAAAATTTGGACAAATTAATTCATTATGTGAATCTTGAGGTATGTCATTTTCTCATATTTGATTGATTTCACTCGAAATTATATTATCAGCAAGTGAATGGTAGCAATGTCAATATCTTTTATTCGACACCCTCATGTTATTTATATGCCTTGAATAAAGCTAAGAAAGAATGGATAACGAAAACTGATGATTTCTTTCCGTATGCCAGTATTCCATTTGCATATTGGACCGGATATTTTACTTCAAGACCAGCATTAAAACGATATGAACGTTACGCAAATAATATTCTTCAAGTAACGCGTCAACTCAATGGATTTTCACAGATGAATCTACGCAATAGCATTTTCTATTTGAGTAAAAAAAGCTATACACTCATTTAATCTATCGACTCATAATTGTACTTTGAAGGTGAAGCAATGGGTATTGCTCAACATCATGATGCTGTTAGTGGAACAGAGAAACAACATGTAGCCAATGACTATGCTCAACGATTGTCTGATGGTATCGACCAATCAATGGTACTCATTAGGATTTAAAATAGATACTATGAAATGAATATTCTTTAGGAAGTCATTAACGCTGCCTATGCGAAACTATTATCCAAAGAAGGTCAAACACAGCTCAATGTTCCTCAGTTTCTTTGTCCATACACAAATATCAGCGAATGTCTGCCTATTGAAGGACAAGCCAAAGTATGTAAAACTCTCGCACCAAACCTGTGTGAATAATCAGCTCAAAAATGATTTTTTGAGATCATTTTATTTTCAGATGACACATGGGAGATTGTCTCGTTTCTTTTTGTAGTTCACATTGACACTCTGGAATCCAACCATTCATTCGGTAACAATTTATCCTCGTGTACCCGTCACTCAAGAATATGTAATCCGTGATCCGATTGGAAATATTGTTCCTGCTGAGGTAGAAAATCGATGATATATAAAGAAAACAAAAAAAAACAAATTTCTGATTTTCTTTTCTTTCTTACAGTATCTTCCGATTTCGATCACTACAAAAAATATTCCTGGTCGTACAAGTTCTGCTCAATATCAGTATCTATTTCAAGCATCATTGCCAGCACTTGGTTACAATACCTATTATTTCGAAGCGAGAGGTATTTCTACAAAAACTTCTACCTATTTTGTTTACATTAAAAAAAAAGTCAATGAAGTGATAGTATATTTAAAAATATAGTTAAAAAATATCATTGAATTTCATTTTGTAAATAGAAACAATCGAAGATTAAGAGATAATCGACAGACCAAATTTTCAGCGAAAAGAAAATTTGATTTTGATATTTTTATTCTGTAATTATCATGAAATTTCATTTGTTTCTAATAGCTAATGCAAATAAAATCAAACGCAGACGAGTGAAAACAACATTTAACGAAGCATGCATTCTGGAGAATGAAGTAAGAGATATGTTTCACATACCAATACTGACAGATTGTTCATCATTTCTAGCACCTGAGCATAGAATTCGATGGTCAAGGTCATTTAAAGCATATTGTCAATTTGGATAAGAACTTAATGGTATCATTTACTGCACAAGGCTTCTACTGGTATGCAAGTAAGTACTATTTCATAATAATTTTGATTAAAATAAGAAACTTTTAATCCAAATGAAAATCAAAATGGATTTCAACGGATTGTTTTAACTATATAATTGCTATACATTTTGTTCAAGGTTTTCCTGGCGATCCAACTACTCCAGAATTACCAGCATCAGGTGCTTATGTCTTTCGGCCATTTGTTTCGGAAGCAGTACCCGTAAGTCTTTCAGGTAGCATGTGAGTAAATTTTGTTCGAAAAATTTTCTTGGCCACTATTTTTTATCTATGAAAACAATTATGTTTAGCAATTGTACGAAAACAGATACCGTACAAAAAGCATCGATTGTTTTCAATGATTGGGTTAGTCAAGAGTTTAGTTTGTTTCGTGGAGCAACATCAGTTGAACTCGAATGGACAGTTGGACCGATTCCAATTCATGATAATATTGGTAAAGAAATTATTATTCGTTATAATACTAATATTAATAGTGGATCGAAATATTATACTGATGCTAATGGACGTGAAGTTCTTGAACGCATTCGTGATCATCGACCAACATGGCCTTATTTAGTTGATGAACGCATTAGTGGCAATTATTATCCAATTAATAGTCGCATTTGGATTCGAGATAATGATCATCAATTAACTATTCTTACTGGTAAAATAAATTTTTTCCAATGAATGGTTGAATTAATTTTATTTTCAATATCTTTTTTTTAGATAGATCCGAAGGGGGTGGTAGTATGTATGATGGTTCCATCGAAATTATGGTTCATCGTCGAATACTACATGATGATTCAATGGGTGTTGGTGAAGCTCTAAATGAGACTGCCTATGGTACAGGTCTTGTTGTTTCTGGTAAACATATTCTTCTTGTCGAACGACCAGAAGATAGTGCTCGACTACATCGAGTCGGCGCTCAACAATTGTTTATGCATCCTCTAGCTACCTATTCCTTACCAAATACACCATCTTATGCAAATTATTCGAATATTTATCGTCAGAGTTGGTCGGCTCTTTCGGATACGATGCCATTAAATGTACATCTATTAACATTCGATCAATTAACCCATAAACAATATCTAGTTCGTGTTGAACATTATTTTGAATTGAACGAAGATGAAATATACTCACAATCGGTGACGATGGATCTTCAAACATTGTTTAAAAGTATTGGTACCATTGCTAATATGACTGAATTAGTATTGAATGCTAATTTACCACTATCTCAGTTGCATCGACTCGATTGGATGACAAAAGATCAAGAATCGTCACATATGAATATATTTCGTAAGTTGAATTTCATTGATAAATATCTCGAATAATAGACTACATACTTTTATTCCTTTTTAGAATCATATTCATCGAATGGGACGACACTTACTCTGTATCCAATGCAAATTCGAACATTTCAAATTACTATTAATTAGACTTTAGAGTCATGAAATTTCTTTCTTTTTCTATCGATGAATGATTTGTGGAAATTTTGAATTAATGTATTGCAAAATATCAGAATAAAACTAAAGATATATTTTCTTCGCAAACAGAGGCCAATAAGTTCAGCTCTAGCTCTAATTAGAGACTGAAACCAAATCAAATCAACTTCTAACTGAATATTAGTCTTATCGAATCGAATCCTTTTTAACATATTCAATAGCGGTACAATCGAATGAAAAATGGAATTCATTAATTTCTACGATTGATGATAACTAACAAACAATAGCACTTATATTTCTTCTATTTCTCAACGTTTTAATTCACAGAATGTTTATATTAGTAGTCTATTGTAGTTTTTTTTCACAATATCTATGACACAAACCTGGATGAACCATCATTATCTGTTTTGTCTTGAGCAAAACTTCGTATGTCATCTTCGTTATATGTAGCACAATCAATATCTACAAGAGAAGGTTCATTGCTGAGCAATAATTATATCAAGTAAAATTTTTTATTAACTCAATCCAAACAGAATCGAATATACAGTTTAATAAAAAAGTATTCAGACACTCTCATGCTTGTTCATGCTTCTTGATTTGTGAAGTAAGAACATGAGATCATTTTTTTTTCAACAACAGATTATCTTCATTTAATCTATGGTGTCAATAAAAATGAACAGTATTGACTATCATCTTCAATTATGAGACATTTTTTCGTGAAAATTCTCAATTTCTCAATATATTTCAAGCAAGCTTCTTCTATCTTTCATGAAAAAACTGCTTAGTTTTCGATATCAAATTAGCATCATGTGAAATTTTAAGAACGAATAGAATGAATGCCATCTATTGTATAATTTTGACTGAAAAAAGGTAACTTCTGAAAATAAGTCTCTTGAGCATCATCAATAGAAGGGTGGGTGGGTGTGAGTGTGGGGGTGTGTAGATGTAGGTTGTATGTTTTCTTCACTTGTATCTCACACCACACCCACACCGAAACTGACACCCGCCCAGAAGATTTTACAGAAAAGGTGAGACACCGATCAACTTACAAAAGTCGGTAAAATCTGATGCAATAGCTAAATCGTTCGGTGTTTTATGGTAAAACAATGCATTGAATAGTAAAAGTCAATGTTCATTTATGCGCTCATCACATTACAGCCCAACTAAGCTTGACGGATGGTTAAAAAAAGAGAAAAATATCATTTGCATAGTAGGAACAAAATCATTCAGAAGTTGTGGGTGTGAATGTAGGATGTGGGGACATGGGTGTGGGTATCGGTAAAGATGAGACTTTCATCCACACCCCACAACAACACGCACGCCGTACATTCACACACTCATACCCACCCACAGTCACAACCACAACCACACTAGCGAACCCATACCCACCTACACCCATACACCCCATTCCCACACGCACACTCTAGATCTGCAGCTACACCCACAAACCCCGCCCACACTCAATTGATCTATGCCAACAGTTTTTTGAAAGGAACTGACCTATATAACAGTTATTTTCGAATTAAATGGTGCCATCAGCATCTCGTTTTAGCCTTCCCATTGGATTTATAATTGCTTCACTATACACCATGTTTTTGAAATGCACAAATGTGCTGGAATGAAGCAAACAGAAACTTCAGGCAAAACAGAAGGATTCAGTTCTCAAAACAACGATCTAGTCACGAGACTCAATTCTAAAAAGAGAAGTGTTTCAAGACATAGGTCTCGAAAAAGAACTGTTTACTTGGCATAGTTCTTGAAGAGGAATTGCACCTTTGACACAGTTTCCAAAAAAGAACTGTTCATTTGCCACAGTTTTTGAATAAAAACTGTCCCTTCGACAGAATTCAAAAAAAAAAGAACTACTTCTTTAATACAGTTCTTAAAAAGAGAACTATCGCTTCCACACAGTTCTCGAAAAAGAACTGCTCACTTGTCACAGTTCTCGACAAAGAACTGTTCCCTCGAAAAAGTTTATGAAAAAACAACTGTTTACTGAACCCATTTCTCGAAAAAGAACCACTTCATTGAACTGAGATCTGTCACAGGTCTACTTGTAAGTGAAGTCAAATGATACAATACTCAAGAAATAGATTTTTAATTTAAATTTCAGCTTTGCTTTATTCAGTCAAATTGATTAAAAGATCTTTGACAATGTGAATGAGAACAGACGAACGATGAAAGTGAACAACTCGGAAGCAATAATCAATCCATTTTTAATTTAAAAAAGAAAACAATAAGATAAATGTTGATTCTCATTTGGCATGAATCAATCCATATGTTTTTGATGAGCTACAACTGTTAGTAGAAAAAAATAATTTTTTTCGAGTATAACGACTTTGTTATAAACGGAAAACGAACTCATCTTCTTTCTTTTGCTTTTCTTTTATTTAGATGGATTTTTTTTTAAATAAAGTAAAATTCACGCAATCTTGAGGGTGTGTGGGTATGGGTGTGTAGAGTGTCGGTGTAGGTGTGAGTGGGTTTGAGTGTGGGAGTATGGGTGGGTGTGGGTGTGAGCGAATGTGAGTGTGTGGGTGTAGGTGTGGAGCGTGGGTGGATGTGGGTGTGTTGGTATGGGTGTGGATAGATGTGGGTGTGAGTATGAATGTGATCAGAGATAAGACTCACATCCACATCCACTAACGCCCACACCCATGATCGTTTTGAGTCGGTTTAATTGAAAACTGTTGAACTCGAGCATTCAAATGATCGACAACATAGAGATTGCCGTCTCGATCGAAGGACAAACCCTTGGGCCAGTTCAACTGATTAGATCCGTTTCTTTCGCCATTTTCACCTGCAATGACAGTGCCCTGTTTCGCTCCTTTAGGCCAACGCATCACTCGATGATTCTCAGAGTCTGCCACATAGATGGTACCCAATGTATCGACGAACAGCCCGTGAGGATACGACAATTGTGTCGGAGCTTTCCCTTTACGTTGATTCCCAGCAACGGGAATTCCTTCTTTTGCACCTTTATTCCATTTCATCACACGATGATTCTCGTTGTCTGACACGTAGACAGCCTGTTGTTCATCGACAAACACGTGGGTCGGCCAGTTGAGTTGATTGAGATCGGTACCTTTGCCGTTGCCACCAGCTACGCGAGTTCCATTCTCATCTCCTATTTGATATCGTCTTACTTCATGTTTTTCGATGTCAGAGATGTAGAGATATCTCTGACTATCCATAGCCAACCCCCAACAGCCGATGTTGTTGATGAGCTTTTCTCCTTCATTTGTGCCACTACGACGAGACCAGCGTACGACTCGTCGGTTTCCTCGATCACAAATGATGAGACTATCTGTGTCTTTGTCGATCAATACATCAGTTGGATAGTACAATTGATCCGATTCATCTCCTTTGCCATGCCCACCAGCTATCACTTGTCCATTCTTATCACCCACCTTCCATTGGATGATACGGTTCTCTCCTTCGTCAGCGATGACCATCGTTTGATCATTATCAACGAAGAGACCAACAGGCCCGTTGAGTTGATAAGTGGTACTGGCGTGTCTATTACCTCCAGCAACAGTCTTGCCATTCTGTGCCCATTGAGCATTGACTGGAATATTGGGAATTACTACAATGGACGTAAAAGAACCGAAATCGTCGATATTGAAGAGACTCCCCTCTCTCAAGGGATAATTTTCGAGAATGTCCTTCTTTCAAACGTTCTAAACAAGGGGGTAGTTCCACCAGGAATCTCCCACGTTTACAGTGACCTTCGCCGGTCAAGCTGAAACTTTCATCAATTGAAGGCCTCACTACTCTAAGACTTATGGTGAAAAAATCCTGAGGGTGTGAGTGTGGGTGTGAGTATGAACCCATAGTGATACTCACCACATCCACATCCATCCTTGAAATCGAACAAAAGTTCACTGTCACTTAGATCTTTACAGCAAAATCAATATTCGTGATTTGCTAAATCGGATAGAAGAAGTTTCAGTTTAAGTGATGAAAGATCATGTTCTGAGAAATAGAATAAAAAATTTTAGTAAATAATTATTGTCATTCAAATCTAGGAAAAGAAACGTTTTCGCAAGGTATATTTTAGTTGTCAGTAGAACTTTTTAGACTACGTAACAAATGATGTAGACTACTATCATCGGTCATGCTTAAGTGAATGCAAAGATTTATTCAATGTTGTTAGGAATAGAAGGTAATGCTCCCAAAAATGAAAAACTATTACGAAACTTCAAGAATTTCTCAAAAGAAACACTCTAATAGAGTCGAAACTTGGTTCCAAAGTATACTAAAACTTGACTATTTTCTAAAAAGCTAGATATGTTCTGAAAGAGAAAACATCACTGCATGTTCATAAGATAAAAAGTCAATTTCGAGTGTTTTTTGTAAAATAGGAATTTTCTAAGAGAACCGTAAACAGTTAGCATAGTTCATTATATTTATTGTATCAGAAGTTCACATACTTTTTTTCTATTATAGAATATTTTTTTATAATTTGTAGCATGTCAAACAAACATGTAGTTGAGTTTTCGTATGAATGTTACCCACAGAAACAATTTCACTTACACCTACATCCATCTCGTTTGACAGAGTTCTCAAAAGAGTTCAAACAATAAATCACTAAAACCTCTCTGTCAAAACAGAATCTTATAGAACTATTTTAAATAGTAAGGTTATTTCTAAGTTAAAAATTGATACCTCTCCAGTGAAATTTGAAGTGTTTTAATGAAAAATAAGAACGAGGTATATAAAATATTATGCGATATATTTCGAGATAGACAGCATTCTTATAGAAGTTATGATAATGTTTGATTTTCGTATTTTCCTACGATATTCTTAATATGCGAACCATTTCGACAAAAGGAAGATTCCAAATCTAAGAATTCCTTTTCTTTCTTGAGATATTAACAATCATCTCTTGTTCATATGAATGGTTTCATATAGACTTAAATAGATTATTCTTTTGTTCACGCACAACACAGAGTGGAATAATATACAATCGATGTTCACACATATAGACAAAC